TTTAATAGCTCTAGCTGTTAATTACTGCCCTTTGTAACACCAAGTATTTAAAACCTCATTCCAAAGCCAATAGTCTGAATCGTTTGTAGAAATGTTTACAAAGCATGACCTTACAGTATGTTTTCCATTAATATCCTTTGCTGAAATGTACAATGGTGATTCTTTTTTCCACCGTGAAAAGAATATTCAGTGTTGGTTAGGTGGATCTTTTTTGTTACAATTCATCTTTTTAGTTGTATTTAGGCAGACATTTTGCTCCAGCTGAAACAGCCAGGTGGCATAGTCACACTTGGCTAAAAAGGCTTTGAAGTTTCTGCCTGATCTAATACTGCAGTGAACCTAATTCAGAAAGAGAATGTGAAATTACTCAAATACTTGATGCATTTGAGGGTAAGAACGAGAGTAGCAAATAATTATTTTTATAAAGTGAATAAAAAGTTTGAGCTCCATTAATTTTTTTTTAATATAATGCATGAGTTTGGCAAAAGAGCCAGGTTTTTCTGCAAGGCAATTCTGCCTGGATCAGTGCCTAAGAAAGATGGATGTTAGTCTCCTGATAAGAGAACATCAAATGACTCTGACGAATCTCCAACAAAAAGCTTTCATATACAGTAGTTCTTGCCCTCGTGGTGTTTGACTGTGGTGTATAATACAGCTGCATATGATGACTGTAATTATGTACAGAACCTGTGTAACTTATTGTCTAAGTACAGCAACCTTTAGCAGTGAGCAATCCCTGTAACACAACAGCAGGCAAAGAGGAAGAACTACCTAACCCCAATTTTAATGTCGTAGTTTTTTAGCAGATAAAGCATTGTAAGATTTTTGTATTGATATGGTTGACAGTGAGACAAGTTGCCTTGTAAGATTTAAAACAAAAGCACATTAAACATTTCAAAACAGCTCTTGAACATCTGACTTTATGAATGTTGGCTGCTGGATCAGAACCTAATTTCTTTACAGTACACAGTTTTCACCTGTATTTTGAGCAGTTTGGTGCTTGAATGCCCTGACTGTTACGGTACAGTGGGTAAGGCCAGGTAAATCTAGTTGCAACATCTGTTAGAGGGAATAAAGTGAAGTCAGATCACTCTCTGAAATGCTGTCACTTTCTTCTGAAGTGTATTTTTAGCTTAATGTACAGAGGAAGCAGGAATATGCTTCCACATCCTTTAGAGCATCAGGAGGGAAGAGTACACTGCAGCTTGCATATGGGAACATATGGGAGATGTGGACCAGTGCTTTGCATGACTGCTTTACACCACCCTTCTCTGAGGGCTGTGAAAGTCCATGTTTGATATGGGGAGGGGAGGGAGAAAACATTTTTGTTTTTAAGTCCATTACGTAGGTTAGTTTTTATGCTCTCAATATGCAAAATCTTCCTGAATGCTTCTCTCATCCATCTCCATTAGCAAGACTAAGGATATTTTCTTCTAGATATGCTAGCAGTTCCCAGTAAGATTAGAACCTGTGTAGAAGAACATTTTTATGCGTGTTCTTTCAGTGCTGGTGATTTTGTGTTTTGTCAGAGAGATGTGCTGTGCAGATTTCATAGAATGATAGAATGGCTTGGGTTGGAGGGGACCATAAAGATCATCTAGCTCCAATCATGAGCAGGATTGCCAGGCAATAGATCAGGCTGCCCAGTATGCCCCCCAGCCTGGTCTTGAATACTTCCAGAGATGGGGCATCCACAGTCACTCTGGGCAACGTGTACCAGTTCATCGCCACTGTCTGAGTAAAAAATTTCTTCCTAACATCTAACCTAAATCTCCCCTCTTTTAGTTTAAAGTCATCCCCCTTCTCCTATCACTGTCACTATGTCACTATCACTTCTCCTGTCACTATCAGATCATGTAAAAAGTTGATCCCCCTCCTGTTTATACGCTCCCTTCGAGTATTGGAAGGCCGCAATGAGGTTTTCCCAGAGTCTTCTCCAGGCTGAACAAGCCCAGTTCCCTCAACTTTTCTTTATAGGAGAGGTGCTCCAGCCCTCTGTTCATCTTCATGGCTCTCCTCTGGATCCACTCCACATCCTTGCTGAGGGCCCCATGCTTGGACACTGTACTCCAGATGGGGCCCTATAAGGGCACAGTAGAGGGGACAACCACCACCCTCTCCCTGCTGCCACCCCTCTGTTGATGCAGCCCAGAATACAGCTGGCCTTCCAGTCTGCAAGCACACACTGCTGGCTCACGTTTTCATTCGCCAGAACCCTCAAGTTCTTCTCCACAGGGCTGCTCTCAGTGAGTTCTTCTCCCAGTACACCTGTGTGGTACTGCCCCAAGCCAAGTGCAACACCTTGCACCTGGTCTTGTTAATGGATTCTCATGTGAGCATGTCTGTCTAGATGGTGGCTCTTCCACTGGAGATCAGCTGCAACACTCAGCTTGGTGACATTAGCAAACTTTGTGAGGGTAACTCAGTCCCACTTCTTTGTTGTTAAAGAGCAGTGGTCCCAAGACCAGTCCCTGGGGGACACCATTTGTGACTGGCCTCCATGTAGACAGAGCTGTTGACAACAATTCTCTGGCTATGAACATCCAATTCTTTATCCACTGAATAGTCCAGCCTTCAAATCCTCCAATTTAGAGATAAGGCTGTGGTGTGGACCATGTCAAAGGCTTTGCACAAGTCCAGGTAGATAACATCAGTTGCCTTTCCTTTGTTCACCAAAGCCATCACTCCATCATAGAAGGCCACCAGATGGGTCAGGCACAGTCTGCCCTTGGTGAAGACATGCTGGCTGTCTCTGATCACCTCTGCATCTTGCATGTGCCTTAACATCTCTTCCAGGAAGATGCACTCATGATCTTCCCAGATAAGGCACAAAGCTGAGGCTCACCAACCTGTAGTTCCCTGAGTCTTCCTTTCTTGAGAATGGGAGTGATGTTTCTCTTTTTCCAGTCACTGGGAACTTCACCCAACAGCCATGATTTTTTTAATATGATGAAGAGCAGCTTGCCAACCACATCAGGCAGTTCCTTCAGAACACTGGGATGCATGTCATCTGGCTCAATTTGAATATTCCAGAGTGAAAAGTAATGGCTTCATTTTGAATTAGGAAAATGTAACTTGGTAGAACCATAATATAGGGCATAAGCACCAAAGCTGCCCCTGGCTGTCACTTCTCCTGTGTTGAAAGTTTGAGTCTGGTAAACATTTCAGCCCCCTGCTGCTGTGTTTTCTCCTTTTGCTTCACTTTTAGTATTGCTGGCAAGTAACTCATATTTCAACAAGGCACTTAATATGAAGAAACTATCTGTTGGTGCCCTTTCTGGTAGGAAATTCCTTTGCATCCTCTTCTGTAAGGTGTCAGAAACATCATGTGGGCACAGCTGGTGTCACACTGGGCTTTCATGCTCAGGGTGCCTCCGCACAGCTCCTTGCTAACAAACTATCCTTTCCATGGAGAGTCAAGTGCAGGTCTCCATAAATAATGAATGTGGGGCTTATGAGTCCTGCTAGGCTTGGTGCAATGTCAGATCAATCTAATCAGTGCTAGCTTCAAAAACTGCCAGTGAGGTAGTGCAACTGGACACACCTCAGGTATCCAGCAGGCTGGTCTGTTTACATTGGCTGGGATGGGAGCATAGCAAAATAAAAATAAATGTATTGGTCTATCAGAGGAATGACCTGTCACTGCCAGAGCTGTTTTTCAGCAGATCTGTTGCAGCCAGGTCTGGCTCTTCTAATTATCTCGCCTGGTGTTGATCGGATGTTAGTGGATTGTGTGAATCCTTGGAGCCTCCTTCAGCCCTGCTGTGATGTCTGCCTTCTGCAGTTCTGACAACCCTCCCCCATCAGCCACGAACCTGAGGCATCTTCTGTGCCGCATGCAGTGCATGCAGGAGCAGAGCTGTGCAGACCTGGTGGTGCTGAGGCCTGTGCCTGTGCAGTCTGTTTCTTTGCTTTAGAAGAGCTCTGCTTTGCTCTGTCAGAAAGGTGTGCTGCACTGATAACTACCAGGACACCTAACTCGAAAGAAGATCTGCTGTCTTCCTCCTCTCTGACAAGAAGCTCCAGCTTCTTCTTGTGCAAGGTGAAGCCCCTGTGCACTTCCAGCAGTGGTGGATCATCTAACTGCCAGAAAGGTGTGAAGATGTATGGTTTCGCTCCCGCTCTTGCTCTCATTGCTGGCCAGGGGACAAGGCAGCCTGCTCTGTGTCTTACCAGGTGCTGCACTGCAGTTTTCTGCTACCACAGCACTATGCTGAGCCACTGAACAGACTGTCATAGGGAAGGGCTCCTCATCCATGTGCCGCATTGGCAACCCTCACAAAAAGGTACCAGAGCCTCACCTGCAAAGCCTTCTGCTGGAGCGTGAGACCCCTCTGAGGAACTCGGGTTCAGGCTTAAGACAGGGTTGTGAGTGTTAAAGCTGCCCTAACTGTGGGACGCTTTAGGACAGTCAGTCCTCATTCATTGTCCCGTCACGTCCTCAGGTCCATCTGTACAAGTGGTGGACATGGCTGGAAGTGAAAAGTACCAGGAAATGATAAGGATGTCAGAAATGTAATGGAAGTAACGTGGATCCGCACTACCTTAGGATAGCAAAACCTTTTCAGTTCTTGATGGAGCACAAGATACTGTCTTTCTCATATGCATGTCTCTGCTTGAGCATCCTCTGTCACTGCTTGGGGAGGCAAATGAGAATAGTAAGATGATCCCTGTCAAAAACTAGGTTATTTTGTTCACAGAATCATTACAAAGTAAAAACAACATAATCCACAGCCCTCTTTATTGTGAATTTGTAGTGGAGATGTTGCTGTATTGTTCCTAGCCATGAATGCCCCACTCACAGGTGTGCCTGATCCAGATGGCAAGTGCAGACTGATAGAAAACAGGAGCTGAAAGAGAGCCCCAGGCAAATGAACCTGCTGCCAGTGTGAACTGCAGTGGCGCTCTGAGGCTGTATCCCTCAACCTTTGACAATTTAGGGCAAGCACAAAGTGTACAAAGCCTGGGAACAAAAGGATGCATTTTTCACCAGAGCCCAATTATGATCCAAAGGCCAGACCAACATTTTATTCTCATTGTTTCCACATGCTCTGGAGGCTGCAACTGATCACATATGGATTTCCCCCTTCCTTCTGGCTGAGCCTGGAGAGCTGCCCCAGGCCCAGCCCAGGAGCCCCCTATGCTTTCACTTCTGGTTCTGCAGACAGCTACAAGCAGGAGGATTCATAGACAGGAGAAAAGCCTGGGCTGTTACATAGCTATGCTTTGCCTTTCAAGCCAGGAGTGTCTCAAGTAGGCAAGGACTGCATGGGCTCTGCTAAGTCTCCAGGGTTAGTAGCACGCGCAGGGCAGTCAGAGCCCACAGAGGTCACAGGAGTCTTTCTGTGTAGCCCAATGGGCTCAGAGCCAGGCTCCTCTAACCAGCCTCTCTGCATCACTCCCTGCCTCAACCCTTGAATTTTCCTTCTCCCTTTGCAACCTCGGGTTGCAGCGGCCACCTGCTTCCAGCCCCCTGCCTGTCCCTTGCACGCAGCAGCAGGAAGTGAGCTTGCGATGAGGCATTCACACTCACAGGTGGGCACTGTCCAAGAGGCTTTCCCAAGGTACACGGGCATTTCTGCTCACAAAGCTGTAGAGTTTAATAAGCTGCTTAAGTAGCACAAGCTTAACTTCATGGAGCCCCCAAGTGCATCCAGTCTTTTCCTAAGAGGAGCGGTACCGCTCTGCATCTCTCCAGCGTGAGTGGGAGCCGCTCAACTGCTTCTCACCAGCTCACTCGTGCTCAAAGAACTCATGGCAAGCAGAGGTAACCATGGCAATGAAGGCCACGAACTCCTGGAAGTCGCACTCTGCATCCCCATCACTGTCCAGTGCCTCCATGACTTTGTCCACGGTCTCTTGGTCTTTGATCTCCTGAAAGGACAGAAACAGGTGTAGTAGCATCTGCTTAACAGCAGCCCTACCAGGGCACCTTGAGGCCCACAGGGTAAGGTTATTACCCTCCCAGGGAAGGAAATTTCCCTAGCGTACAATCCAAGCCTCCAGCCCTGACACAGGCTTTGTCCAGCCACCACCTGCTCCTGGGGAGCTGGAGCCTGAGCCCATGTGTGCTATGTAGGGGGCAATACTCACACCAAGGAAATGGGTTAATTCATTGTTAATGAGCTCCTTCAGCTCCGATTTCTTCAGCTTATGCTTGTCTCCTTCCTTCCCAGAGTACTGGTGGAAAGCATCAATGATGGCGATCATGGCCTTCTCCAGCTCAGACATGGTCACAGCGCAGTCCTGAGATCAGAGGGAGGCAATGGGCACATCAACAGGGTTAGGCTGCAGTGATGCCTTTTGCTTGGTGAGCAACAGTGCTCTGGGGCATCCTCCCACCCAACAGCAGTGCAGGCAAGCTCTGCTAGCAGCTCTCATTTTGGGGAAGATCCCAGGATCTGTGGTTCTAAGGTGCCTTGGCCTTAGGTGAGTGCTCCGGGTGAGCTGCAACACAAGGAGTGGTGGCAGTGGGACAGGTGCATTCCCTGGAACTGACAGGTGTTGTGTGCAGAGAGAAAACTGGAAGGAGACAGGTGGCAAAACCCTGGAGGCTTCCTGCATTTCCCATATGTGCGGAGCTAGCTGTCAAGTGGGGCAGGGTCATCTGCTAAGCTTGTGTTGCCAGTGCTTTTGGGAAACCTGCATAGCAGAAATGGGCTGCAGGAAGCACAGAGCACCAGTCTGTGCCCGGAATGGGGCTTGAGCTCTGGCTCAGAGCTGCATGCAGCTCCAGGCCATGGAACTGCTAGACCTCCCCCAGGTCTCACTGTAGTTGGGCTGCATCTCAGCCCTGCTGCCTGGCACTCCCTATGGGAAGGAAACCCACTTTTGGATGACCCAAACCCTCAAGCCTTTTCACTAATCAAAGCACGGCAGGAACTGGACAGTATCCTTGTGCCACGTTCCCAGCTGATGAAACATCCATGCATGTTGTCACCTCACCTATTCTTTTTTTTTCCTACTGCTCAACTCCTTGCTTTCCTCTGCAAGTTTGGGATAGAAGCAGGTGAGGGTCGGGCCAAGAGGGAGGTGTTTCAGAAAGGCTTTGCTTTCCTTTCCATTTCAGGTGTCCTTGCCTCTGCCTTTCTTGCCTGCAGACCCATTTCCAAATGAATAGTCAGGGGGACATGAGCAGGATTCGATTTTGAAAGGTGCCAATAGGAGAAAACAAGGGCAACTCCTCTGCCTTCCTTCCTCACGCATACGATTGGAGACCAGCTCAGGACTACCAATTATTGCAGCTTTTCCTGCAGATTTCACAAAAACCCAGACCAAAGATAACCTGACAGGGAGGGATACAAGCCCATCTTCTCAGAAGCTGCTGAATGCACTGACGCTGGGGTTAAAAAACCCAACAGTTTGGTGTCCGGTCCTCATTTAATTCATACCACACGGGTAAATATCTGCCACGTAAGCTCAGCTCTCCACCGGCCTCTGCGGTCAGCAAAGAGCTCAGCTCCGGAACGACAGCCCCCGAGGGAGCCAGCCATCCAGCCCGCCCGTCGTCTGTTCCCCGTCCCCCATCCCCGAGCCCTCTCCCCTCTCACCTCCCTCGGCGATGCTCAGCGCTGCGGCTGCAGCCGGGCGGCTGACGGCCTTCTTATGCCTGTGGGCGTGGAGCCTCACCCGTGCCGCAGCGCCCGGCGCCAATGGCAAAGGGAGGCCGGGGCGTCCGGCAGCGGGCTGAGCTGTGCGCAGCGGCAAACAGACCTGCATTGACCCACTGCCGACCCGCTGCGGCCGTGGGAGTCGCTGCAGAGAAAGCCGCCGCTGTGGGCAACCAAACCCCGGGCGTTCAGCAGCGCGGTGCCGGTGCGTGGCCGTGCCGCAGCTCTGCCCGCACGGAGGCAACGAGCAGCAAGCAGCGGCGCCGCACGGCGATCCCACCCGTGGGCCGGGGGCTCCGCAGAGAGCGGGGGCCGCACGGCCGCTCCGTTCCGTG